AGAGAAATTTAGTTCCCTTTTCCAGAACTAAAAATAATGAAATAATGAAAAACCATTTTAAGGCAAAGTTTTTCCTTGCACTTGCTGCTGTTCTCTGCCTGACAGATTCTTTCTCTTCTTGGTACAGCTTATTCTGGCATTTGTCCTCAGAAGATTGCCTCTTCCCAAGTGAGGCGAGGCAGGAGGGCTGACTTGTTCATCGTTATACGCCTAGCACTAAACCAAATACTTGCCACATAGTGGGAATTCAATTAATATTTGCTAAAGTGAACACATTAATTTGGTGGTGCTTTTTTATAAAGAAATCTTGTTGCTCAAAAGTTCAGATCAGGGGCTAGTGAAATGGCTCAGTGGGAAAAGGCACTTGTTGCCACTCAGTTCTCATGAGAGAGACATCATTGTGCAGAGGACAGTGGGTGAAACAGGGACAACGGTCAAAGTGCAGAAAACCTGTCTGTGGAGTGCTCAGCTATACATGGGACATCCACAGTACACTGTTACCTCCTCCCCATAAAAGGTTCAAGGAACATTGCAGAAAAGAGAGCAGAAAGATTATAAGGGCCAGAGGTTAAGGAGGGCTGGGGTGAAACATATCTTCTGGGTATGACAGGACCACTGCACAAGATCAAGCCAATCAACATTCCAGGTTGGATGGGGGAGGAACTCATGATATCTTACCCCTAGCTGCTATTGACAGCTGATGGCTGCTAAAGGAGAGTCAATTTTCTTTAAGGATATGGCCCCTAGGTTGATCATGCTCCAGTGGATGGCCCCACACCCATATGAATATGGGCTAACTGGACAAAGTGGGTTATAAAAAAAAAAAAGGACTTGAAATTGGGGGAGATCTGAGGGGGGAATCTGGGAGGAGTTGGGAGAGTAGAGGGCGAGTATGATCAAAACACATTGTATACATGTATGAAATTCTCAAAAAATTAAAATATTATGTTTAAAAATAAAATAATGAGGGGCTGGAGAGATGGCTGAGCGGTTAAGAGCACTGGATGCTCCTCCAGAGGACCCAGGTTCAATTCCCAGCACCCACCTGTGGCTAACAACCACCCATAGCTCCAGGTCCAGGGGATCCAGTGCCCTCTTCTGGTCTCCATGGGCTTTGCACAACACAGGTGCACTTACATACATGAAGGTAAAAAACTCATACACATAAAAAATTTAAAAGTAAAATGAAATACTTCCAAAAATTTGGGGGTCATAATCTGTCAATCAACAACTCAAGATTCAGGTGCAACCTCCTTATCATGCTGAGGTCTGCGAACAAACTTCTAGTAGAACAGGTCACCTTGATAGCTCTCAGGACTGTCTGGTTTGAATATGGCTTGAGCATGATCCCCCCAAAGGTTCTTGTTTTGGAAGCTTGGGTTCATGCTACAAGGTTAGGAAGTGGTGGACCTCAGGGATGTGTTCTTGGGAAGTATTAATATAGTTCCCATGGGACTCCTGATTACTTCCTGGGGAGCAAATTTTATACGAGTCCCCACCCATCATCCTGTCAGGGGATGTGATGGCTCACCTCACATGTGTTCTAGCCATTACGATGTCATTCACCATGAGGTTCTGTCATACCCATCACCATGTACTTTAGACTTTCCACGTCTAAAACTGTTTCCTAATTGAACTTCTTTTCTTTACAAATTGCTCAGTCTTAAGTATTTTCTTACAGTAATGGAAAACAGATTAGTATACATGGCAAATGAAAAAGAGTGGCAGATAGCAAGTTATAAGAAAACTAGAAACTGCTCCAAAAGAAGTAAGTGTAGGTCTTCATTTAGGCATAAGCATTTCTCTAATGAGCCTTTACATACTCTAGACTGAAACATGGGAATGGCTCATACAGCTTACAGAAGAAAGCTACGTAGGGCTGATTTAGGCATTTGCCATCAACCCAATGACCTGAGTTCGAGCCCCAAGACCCACATAGTGGAAAGAACTAACTCCCACAAGTTGTCCTCTGACCTCATATACCCACACATATACACAAAATAAATAAGTGTAAAAAATATGGGAAAAAGTGATAGGATCATCATTAACTAAAATACTATGTAGAAATTTTTAAATGATACTACTAAGTATAAATAAGTCTATGCACTGCATGAAGCTATTCTTTATCAAAAAATGTATCTATGCCAGGCATGGTGGTGCATGCCTTTAATCCTAGCACTTGGGAGGCAGAGGCAGGCAGAATTTTGTGAGTTCCTGGCCAGCCTGGTCTACATAGCGAGTTCCATGACAGCTGGAGCTACAAGGAAACCCTGTCTCAAAAAGACAAAATAAATTAAAAAAAAAAAAAAGTCCTCTCTCCAACCCACAGGCTTCTCAGGCTTCTCTCTCCAGAGTAAGTCCATTGGGCCCTCCGCACCTTGACTTCCCCAGCCTCGCTCACCCTCCCATCTCCCCTGCCAGTCTCTCCTCCTGGCCTGACTCCTGTCCAATTCCTTGTATTGGCACCCAGAAACCAGGGGAACAACCACTGCTTCCTGATCCTGTGAATCCAGAGCAACTCAGTTCCGTCTCAGGTCCCCAGGGGTGCTCGAGGCCCGGCCCCACCCTCACCATCCTCTACCTCCCTGGGTCTGTACAACCCACCAGCCTCTTTCCTGGATGCCAGGGCTGACCTTTCCTCTTCCTGGTCCTTTGCATCAAGACCAACCCAGATCCTCAGTGCAGTCCACAGGAGCCCTTGGAGCCTCTTTCCACCCCCATCTACCTTTGCATCTCTGGGTGGCATGGCCACCAGCTGCCCTAGCCCAACATCTTTCCTGGGCCAGGCTCCCAGGCCAGTCCAACCCTCAAATTCCTGAGGCCAAAATCTATCCTGGAGGGATCCAGAACTTAGGAGAAAGCCTGAGGATATCTGATCCTCATCAGACTTGGGCCTCCTTGGGAACTCCTGAAGACAAAAACAATCCGGCCACTCCAATATAAAATCAAAAGAGAGAACTGGAAGCTTAGACAATCCAGCT